TATCTGACCAAGTTTGGACGAAAAATGTTGAAAACTCGCAGAGTTATTTAATAAAATACATTTCGCTGCAATAAGAAAAACATTGAAAATGTAATATTCAAATTCAATTTTCTCCCGAAGAATTTTACGGCAATTACTGATTTTTTAAACGAGTTGTGCTCCTGCGGGTTTTAACGATTTTTTCTCAAATTTTCACAGGACATAGCTAAAGACGTCAGTTTCAAAATTGTGTTCGGCTTTGTTCTAATTTTGTATATTTTAATAATAAGGAGCAATTCACACAAACGATTAAGAAATATATCGCAGTCGTCAAAGAAATCGCCATATCAGCGGAATGACGAAATAAACAAAAATTTCCGAACACAATTTTTTAGAACAACTATTTTACTGTATAAAAATGATATTTTCGTAAATATACCTTAAAACCAGCAGGAACATAACTCAAAAGCGTAAAGGTACCATTTTACAACTTTACCATATTTTGCATGCACTGGCGAACATTTGGTGAAAATTTGATGAAAATCGGACTGATTTTGAACGCGCAGTAGCGATTTTCCGCAAAACGCCAAAAAGGGTGTCCTGTAACCTTAAACCAGGCAAAGATTACATTAAATATGTCTACAGGCATTGTTTTGCAACCAGCAATTAAGCAAATTGCAAACGATCTCCGCGTATTCCCTGATTTTGTGATTTACAGCAGTGGCGTGCTGGCAGGGGGGGCCGGGGGGCCACGGCCCCCCCAGCTGGCAATTCTTGGGGGGCGCAAAAATGAAAAGGGGGCGCCGTCCCGTGCGGAATTTTGTAAGTGGGTGGGAAAAAACGCATTTGAAAAAATATAGTTACTTCCGTCAAGAAGTATATATTTATATAGGCTTATAAACAGATCGAGACTAAGCGCATAGACGACAAAGTGATATATTAAATTACAGACTATTTGGTCTAACCGTATTTGCTAATTTGCTACTTCACGGCTCACACAAAATCGTTCATATAGAAACATGATCAGTGATCACACACAATGTCTCATTACCGGAATATTGGTCAGGTTTCAAAGCGATCACGGGAATTATGCCCTTTTTTGCTGGTATTATGCCCTTATATTATGAAGGTATTATGCTTCACGAATCACGAGAGCGGCGCAAATTAGATAGTTATGATAATGTAAGTTGTGTACGCAATTTAGTTATTTGTGCAAGAAACATCATGACTCATCAGTAATGTAAGTGATAAGATAATGCTGAAAAGCACCCTTTTGGCAGCCAAGCAAGGTAACCTTAAAGTGCATATACGTGGGGTCCGTGTGTTATTGTACAGTATAAAAGAGCTGTATGTTGTAAATGTATTCAGATCACCAGATCAGTAGAGAATAGAATTGGGATTAGATTAATCGCTGGAACTGAGTTAGCATTGCCCAATTTAAGAACTACTACTATATATAATTCTAACCAAATTGCAAATTTCAACACGTTATAATGCCGTTTCCTGACCATCAGATTTCTGTCAAACCTTCCCCCCAAAGTCCAGGAAATGGCATTTCAGAGACCCTAAATTCAAAAATTTTCCGAGGGGGCATGCCCCCGGACCCCCCTAGAGAAACCTCGCACCTGCGGCGCTCGGCTCGTGCCTTCGACACTCGTTTATCAAGCATTACAATATAGGGGCGCATATTAGTTGAAAGCCAACTGGCCCCCCCAGAAAATTAGTACCCAGCACGCCACTGATTTACAGCGTCGCGTAATATAATTTACTGTTTACTACAGAAGCCATAATGCATCGATGGTGGCACTGTACTGAACGAAATCGAATAATCACGTGATTCTGGCCATGGCGCCATGCTGTGATTATAAACTAAATTTGCTATAAATGGTAATAAGATTTAGTTCTGTATCCCAAATTATTTTTATTCTAGTAGCGAAATGATTGTTTCAAAGTTTTTCAAAGCAGCGTGTTTTTAAGCCTATGTCTACATCATTGACACGACTGCATATTTTGTCTTCTATTCTTGTTTTTTTTACTCTTGTACTATTTGATATATTTCACTTTACCATGGACTTAAGTCAAATAGTTCCCTGCATATAGGTTGAGTTAACTAAAAGTCTTTGCTATAAAGTCCCATGATTATAAAAATACTATTTTGTATAAATTGCGCATAATGAATCTAGATTTCAATTGCTTACTTTAAAAGAGGCGATGAATTAAACGTACACCGGTCCATAACGTAATAGTTACAAAAAATAAACGTTAAACATCAACAAATGTTACCTATATGTAGTCGAGGCGACCAAATAATTTCACAAAGGTAAGAACTATTTCGTACTCAAATGAAAAGGAGCATTGAAAACAGGTTAC